TTTTTGAAAATAATCGATTAAGATGACTTCATGACTATCCCAAAAAACAGTCGCCATCACTTTCACAGCTGAAAAAAACAGTTTTTGTATTTTTTGGAGCCGGTTCCCCTTTGCAATCCATTGTTTTAATGGTATTTTTATTTCGGGCGTATAAAGGTGTATCCAAGTTTCACCTACAGTAATTAATAGGCGAAAAACTCAGATTTATTGCGCCTAATGTACGCCAACAGAACGTTAGAAATGTTCATTCGAACACGTTTTTGGTCTAATGTGAGCACCCAATGCATTGACAGAGTTATTGTAATGCCTAAATCTGAATTTAATGGAGGACAAACACGTGATTTGGGCATTTTCATAGTCTATTATATCTCTCACTTTAATTCGGCAGTCATCTTGCACCATTTGGTGAACTTAAGCGATGTTATCGTTAGTAGTTGCAGTTCTTGGACGTCCCGAACGTTCATAGTCTCCCAAGCTCTCGCGGTCACGTGTAAATTCAGCCGCCTGAAATTTCACTGTGGTAAGTGATGATGCAGTCTCCATAGACAAGTCCAATTCACTAACGTAGCGTAGAAAAAATTTAATGGCAGTTCGATACTCAATTTTTTCCAATTTCACAAAAACACATGGACTAACTGAAACGACTGTAAAATAAAAACTAAGTGTTTTAAATGGCTGAGTGGTGCGTAACTGTCAAAAAATACACAGTTACATTAACTAGCTTTTATTTACGATTGCTGCCATTTTCACGTTGAGGTCGGAAACTTTTCAGACCACTCTGGTATATATGTTATTTATTAATAAATCATCACTAAACCATTTTTGAGTAACGATTTTTTATTAAAACAAATTTCATGTTACAACGCATTGTATTTTTGTTGGATAATTAGTTATTAGTGGGGATAAGTAATCTTCTATTTGAAGTTAGCCGTGTCTATGGGCCCTGGAGGCCCCTTTTTATACATAAGCATACGTAAAATTTTAATACTATTGTATTTCACAGATTTCAGCCGCGGGTTTAGAATCGCCTCCAGTTATAGCACCATATTTTTCAAGAGAACAAAGTAAGGTGAAAAAAAACTCTAACTAACAATAAATAACAAAACTTTGTTACAAAACACGACCAACGTTATATAAATAATAACATAAACCAAAATTTTTTTCGAAGGAAATTTGCTTGAAAATCTTTTATCCAAACCAATAAGGAAGGAGATCATGACCCAATTACATAAAGTGGTATTTGCGTATATGAATATGTATTTATACGATCCTGATAGGATATATCGGTAAGAAATAATGGGCGGAGCATACCATCAGCGTGTGCAGCACGTGTGCATTGAGGCATCAGTTGTAATATTATATATAATAGTTTATGAATGGACACAATAACTGTATTATGTACATAGTGCGTGAAATCACAGGAACTATACAAGTAAAACGTATTGCATGCACACGTGCTATGCAAGCATCCGGTTACCACCGCCCTCAATTTATTTTCGGCTTCTATATTCAAAAAATTCAGATTTCTTTTCGACATTTTTTAAAGTTTAATGATATTTTATTGTAATATTTATGTGCCATTTTGTTCGATAACTTGTTGCCATCTTGTAGATAGTGACATAATGCCGTTGCTGTAAAAATCTTGGGGTTATTGATAAAAAATATGCAAAAAGTAGTTTTGACAGTCTCCCTCGTTAATCTAACATTACCCTAAGAATTCCGAAAAGATCGAAACAGGTAAAAATTTGAGGGTGCAAAGTCAGGACTATATGATGGATGTATTAACACTTCCCAGCTTAACTCTCTCAATTTATGCTCTGTGACCAAATATGTGTGTGGTCTGGCGTTATCATCAAAAACCACTCCTTTTCTGTTCATCAATTCCGGCCGTTTTTTCTCAATTTCTTGGTCAAATCACCCGCCGCGGCGGTAATACCTCATATTAACAATGCTCTTCCTATCCCACCATACACACAGCATCACCTTATCACGTGTTAATCCAGGTCTTGCTACAGTCTGGAGTTTAACTACCTTTTTACCATGATGTTTTTCGCACGTTCTTGTCATAGATGATCCACTTTTCATCACCTGTGATCAATTCAAAAATGTTTCGGTTTCATTACGTTTTAATAGAGAATCTCAAAGGAGTACACGATTCATTAGGTTTCTTTCAGTGAGCTCGTGTGGTACCCAAATATCGAACTTTTTTTGTATAGCCAGTCTTTTTCAAATGGGTCCAAACTGTTTTGTGGTCAATTATCAATTCCTCGGCTATGTAGTAACTATTAATATGTCGATCTTGCTCCAATTTTCAAAAATGGCATCGATTTCATCCGTAAGAGAGCGACCAGAGCGAGCTACATTTTCGACATCAAAATTTCCAGATTGACTAACGATATTTAAAAGGATTTCGAGCGTTGCGCTAGAAAATAAGCGGGAAGTTCCAAAGATGGCCTGTAGGGTCAACCGTTTTTAGGGTTCCGTAGTCAACTAGGAACCCTTATAGTTTCGCCATGTCTGTCTGTCCGTCCGTCCGTCCTCGCTTAATCTCTGTGACCGTTAGTACTAGAAAGCTTAAATTTGGTACCAATATGTGTATCAATCACGCCGACGAAGTGGTAAAATAAAAATTGGAAAAAAATGTTTTATTAGGGTCGCCCCCCTATATGTAAAGTGGGAAGTGATTTTTTTTTTTAATTTCAACCCTAACGTGTGATATATTGTTAGAAAGGTATTTAAAAATGAATAGGGGTTTACTAAAATCATTTTTTGATAATGTCAATAATTTCGAAATAATCGCTCCAAAAGTAAAAAACAATGTGTCCCCCCCCTCTAACTTTTGAACCATAGGTTTAGAAAATATGAAAAAAAATCTGAAAGGTAGAACTTTGTAAGGACTTTCTAGGAAAATTATTTTGAACCTGGATGGAAACAGTTTTTGTACAAAAAAGACAAAAAGTTGTACAAAATAATTTCTGGACTAAGTTTGTAATATAATCGTTTAAGCAGGCATTTTTTTTTTAACTTCGTTTACATATTTTATTATCCTGAACGTATCTTTTTTTCAAACAAAAAAAAGAATTATTAAAATCGGTTCTCGCAATTCAAAATTACCACCGAAAACTTCTGGCACGTCTATGTATTAATTAGTAACCCAATTCCCCGAGAGAGGGCGCTGTAGGTACTTATTACATTGGGTCGGGTATTATCGAATTGTTCGGTTGGTCTCTCCTTGGTCCTTGGCATCGCCTGCCGCGGAGCGTGCAATGTTGCACGCTCCATGTTCGCGCACGTACCCACTACCGGGAGCAGTTGCAGGAGCGCGGAGCGCTGCTGGAGCGCGAACATAATGGATACCCACCTTTAAACTCATAAGTGGGAACACTTATTGTGACGGACGGGAAACTACGGAACCCTACACTGAGCGTGGCCCGACACGCTCTTGGCCGCTTTTAATATTAGTAAGCACTATGTTTTGTTAATATTATTTTGACTACTTTTTTGTTAGACTCGACCTTTGGAAATGTCAAGTTGTCATTGTTTCCTAAGGATGAAGGTACCATTAATAGGTGGTAGTATTAAACGTAAGGTGTGTGGTACTGAGTTCCCTAGTCGTCTAGGAAGGGAGGGGGGTGATTTTAATAAACCCTCATTATGAGAGAGGCCTACGTATAGGGCGATGCATTTTCCTTTTTATGATGAAATAGTTTTAATTTAACCCTGGTAAAGTATCTACGTGTTTTGTAGTGAGATCTGTAAAATTCAGCATTCATATATATTTAACTGTTCAAAGTCTAAATGTTGTGTATTACTTATTGAATTTTTACTAGAAAAGAAAAGAAAAAAATCTTTAAACAAGTTCATGATCTTGTCTATGAAGTTATACAGAGCACTAATAAATGGAATATGTTGAAAAATCAAACTTCAAGAGACTTAAGGCCACTGGAAATCCGATGGATTGAAATAGTAAGCAAACGTTATCAGAAATATATTTTTTTTTTTCAATACACATTAATAAAATTAAAGTGTCTGCCTACAATATTTAAATAACTGGCTCATATTAAGCTCAGGGAGTTATATTTCTGCTCGAGTTAATTTTTAGAATGGCTGAACGGATGCTGATAAAACTTTACGAAAGGCTAGACAACAATGCCAAAACGGATCTAAGCTATATTTGATCCGAAAAACTTCGTACGAAAAATTCGAAACAAAAATACAAATTTAAAGCATAAATTATCTGTGAATATTTTAAATCGAAATAGATTCTATGCAGACGTGCCGGGGGCAGATCGCTAATTTATAATAATTAGTAACAGTATTACCGTTACTGTTTTAGCCTATTAAAGTCCTCTGCTGAATATAGGCCTCCCCCATATATTAATCATAGAGGCGATATTCACTATGCCACGGTCTGCAAGCGGGTTGGCAACCACAGATTTTAATTAGGACTATATACGTATAATATATATATATATATATATATATATATATATATATATATATATATATATATATATATATATATATATAAATACGATAGAGCCACGCTACGGCTATATTATGATTATAGCACGGATATAATCAGATGGACTGTGTGCTCGTTTGTTATACTATAAAAATGCTGAGGCGACGTGAGCAGCGATAGTCAACAAAGTACAAGGAATACATACAATAAGTACGAAAAGAAAATATAAATAGACTAACTATATTTTTCGTAACTAGAAGCAAGTTTCAACTATGCAAGATTTTTTGACGTAGAATCAAAGCGTCTATTCAGTACTAACACATACATTTTGCTTTGATTATAGGAATACAATGTGTGCTCGTCTGTCGCGCTAATTTTATAAAAAAATAAGGTGCTACCCATCTCCTGATGTATTTCCCACTGTCGCCTCTAACGATGCCGTGTAACTTGGCGATGTAACTTCATCCACCACTCCATATCATACCGTGGGTGTCGTCAGAGTTATAATATTACTAAAATAAAATGTTTTTTTTAGCATAATGAAAAGGAATATGAAAAATTTATACAACTAAAGGATGTTATGGTTGATGGATTAGATTCAGCATATTCCCCAAAACTTGGTGGTCCTTACAAAATTCAAACAATAGGAATCGCAGAAGCTTTACGATATAATACATTAAGGGTAAGATAACAGATTATAATTCAAGTTTTCAGGCATTTATTTGCTCACTAAGTGTACACTCAGGTCTTATTATATATTACAATTGATACTTATTATTACTGAGTAACCAACGTTTTACAGACTTTACAAAAACACTAAGTATAATAAACTTTTAAATTGTACATTTATAATTATTAATGCAATAAAATATTACACGCTATGAGGCATTGATGTTAGTCCTCAAGGGTAGACTTTGGCTTGTATAACACCTTTAACACACACCTTAAACAGAACAGAAAAGAACATTTTTATTCAATCTTAATTACAAGTACTTATTGAAAGTAATTTTTTCACTATTACCACTGGTTTGGAAAAACCTTTGTCCTCAAAAAAACTAGCAGGAAACCTTGAGGAACCTTGTTTCAAAAAAATTTCAGGTTGAACCTTTAAACTAAAAAATTTATTTAAGAAACAGTTTAGAAGCGATCACCTCATTCTCAGGGTTTGTTATCAACAGCATTTTTATATACTCTTAATATTAATACTCTCCTAAAATATACTATTTTTAATATACTATTTTTATTAAGTTTTTATTTAAAAAAAATTGCTTTGTAAGCGAGAGACCTTGTATATGTTCTGGGACTTTGTTGTAATATAATAATAGAACTTTATTTTACTCCCATTTTATTTAATAGAAATATGACCGAGTGCTGTCCGAAAATATGAGGCACCGACAGAATATAGCGCTGTGGTCATAGCAACACTGCTACAGCATTATGCTGAATCAGATGCCTTTTCGTTGCTGCAATCAAATGTATTTGTGTATATTGTTATTTTTTTATTGGTTTTTAGTTGAATTTTTTTAAATTTTATGCATTGGTCTGTGACGAATAAATCTCATCCATTCATTAATAATAGCGTACCAGCTTTTGCCCGCGACTTCTTCCGCGTAGAAGGAAATGGTTATAATAGGATTTTTAATTGGTATTTTACAATAATAATTTTGTTATAACATATTAGTTATTATGTTATATATGTATGTTTGAATACTTATAATATATAACCATTTTCATTATAGTGTAGGCATTTAAAGGTTAAATAAACATGAAAATTAAATAAAATTTTGTTATATTTTATGAACACGAATCTCGGCCATTGATCTGGTGAAAGTGATACGGGAGTATTATCTTTTTACAATGAAATCGAAATACTACAACTACCGCAGTATTTCTTGGTAAACAAGTTTTTTTTTCTTCGGGTGCTAGAATCACACTTTAGGAAACTGCGCTCTCTTCAATTCGAAGGGGTTGTTTGATGGTGTTATTCTAGGGATAAATACAGGCTCTCCTCGAGCAGAACCTGTCAGTATCTTTGCAATGTTTTCACATGGAATCTGGTGCCATTGCATAATTTTGATTTATATTGCGCAGCAACATAGTTGGCGCACAAACTCTCAATTTCAATATGTGAGTTGTGAAACCAGGAAGCTTCAATGTATTCAGGAACTCGACCGGATAATGAATGGCATTATCGATGTTTATCACTGAGTCGACGGATTTATATTAATAGTACCCGGTTGACCGAGCTTTGCTCGGTATTTTTCGCTCGGTTTTTTTTTTAATTCGTGTGTTTTGGAAATTATATTTAGATACAAATTACATACTGATGAAATATGAATAATATTTTTTGATCTTAGCGACATAATAGAAAAAACTGAACTGGTTATTTGAATAAAAAATCATGAGTGCAAGTAGTTTAATTTAAATTTTCGTGTTTTTAAAAAATACTAAAAAAAGGGCTCGGAAAAATAGATTTTCTCAAAAAAAGAAAGAACTTGAAAAAAAAATTAAAAAAAAGTTGGTCGGTCGTTCTGGGCTCGAACCGGGGTTTTACGATTCTGTGACCGTCCTTTATACCAATTAAGCTATTTACAATCATTGAGAATCTGTTAAAATTTACCTTCTTATTCTAACGATATTGTAGCAGTTTTTCATTGCCTGAAAACACGGAAAAAAAAGACATTTTCTAAAAATAAGTCCTAGCTTGATCGATTTATTATCCCCGAAACTCCCTGGACACTAAATTTTATGAAAATCGTTGGAGCCGTTTCCGAGATCCCGATTATATATTTATATATATACAAGAATTGCTCGTTTAATAGTATAGGATTTAACCCCTTCAAATGATCTCAAAAGTATTTCATTATGACTGAGGCTTGTTCGTTTTTTGGTGTTAGGATCACACGCTCGCATAACCATTCTGCAGGTTTACCGTAAATATTATAAGTGTTTGGTAAACTTTTTCTATAAACTCTTCTACAGTAGAAACAAATTTATCTTATACTGTAAGGAAATTACCATTTTCAACATCTCTAAGATAGACTCTCATATATTTGGTAAGGTTTAGTTTCGTCACTAAAGGCCACGAATGAGACCGCTTCACGCAGGTTCTAACTTTATCCGCTCGCTTTCCTCTGGGCACTACTGTTAAAGTCTGCCGGAAATAGCCTACTAAAAAAATAGTAACTCGTCCCATTTGACGATTGTTAATCCTAATATCTTGTAAATATCTATTTAGGGCTTTGAAATACTCTTTATGAGCCTAAGTATTGTCATTCCAAACAATAAATTTCGTTTTGTGGATTACTTCTGCCATATTACCTTATTTGGGTATATTGCAGAGTGGGGTTTCGATTTTTATCAAATCGAGAGGAAGTTTAAACGCGGAGTATGCAGTTTTATCTCCTTTCAGCAGTCACCAATCCCGGACGATGCGATAGAAACTTTTGCCAACAGTAAATTAAATAAAAAATCTTGAATGTTCAACCAAGAGAATACAAAAAAGATATCACCTACACCTGCGTCGATACTGGAAAGCATATTATTATAGATGTATCTATGTTCATTGGTTAGAGTGCCTTCACTATTTGACACCAGTTCTGCTAAGGAATTGACATCGTAGCTTCTTTCAGGTAGTCCCGGTTATTATGTAAGCTCTTCGACCTTTGAGGATGAGGCAACCCGTACTGCTGTAAGATTTGACCTCTTAATGCTAATACAGCTTCTCCTATTGTAACTAGATATTTATTGTATTTCAACTGCTAGATGTTCATCTATAATGGCAGAAAGCCTTTCCAATTGTCATTTGTAGTAATTTGATAGGCTATCCCTATATTTTACCCAAAGAATTAGTGCGTCTATAATCTGACAGAATGCCAGCATTATAGAAAGAAGTTCACACATTTTAAATGGCGACTTGCATAAGGCTGCTTCCTCTAGGGCGGGATCCTAATGTGTGTCGTCTTCCAGTAAGCCAAGTTTCATACGAGCTAATCAAAAGTTGGTTGGAGGACACCGTTGACAGTCTTCAAGTATCGAAGGATGATGGACCCTAACCTTGTGAAGAAGTAAGCGAAGATGGTAACACTCTGTGTTATTCGGATGAACCGTGTACACTCTACCTAGGGCGTGTTCTTTTACTATTTCTGGCCAGACGTGTACTGGTTGTCCCCTTTTCCTTCTCACAAATTAATTTTTATTGCCATACAAAATATTAAGGCACTTCCGCATATAGAAGGGTTTTATGAAAATCATCTGTTTGACATAAATAAAAATGCTAACAGTGTCGTTTTTAGTAGGCTATTAGCTTTGTTGGTGAGATCGTCGGAATTAAAATAGATTTGTTGGCCATTTTTAAGGTGGACAGCTAAATGTATGACTGCGGGAAACCTTTCATGTATGAAAAACCCAAAAATCCTCCAAACTGCCTTGAACTACTCAAATAACGCCCAATCTCACATAATTTAACTTTGTCCTTTTTGTTTTATAGCACGGCAGCCGCCCTTATTGGTCTAGTGGTTGTAGTAGTGCGACTGCTGGTCATGAAGTCCTGGGTTCGCATCCCGGGTCGGGCCAGAAAATTAATTATTGAGTTTTTCCTTCAAGAAATTCTCAGTAGCTGCCCGGAGTCAGGAAGTTGGCGGTGTCTCACCCCCGTGCCTCGGAAAGCACGTAAAGCCGTTGGTCCTGCGCCTGATCTCTCTCCGGTCGTGTCGGTTTACCGTCCGATCGGATTAGAAAGAAAGAAAGAAAATAATATAATCCTGTCCTGCGCCGATGGCTAGTCTCCGTTGAGGCAGGCCGCCGTGGCTGAAATTCGGTCTGGAGGACATTATTAATGTAATTACAAATGTACTCCATAGATTTATCAGAATTGCAAAATTCTACATTAATATGTGCCTTAAATGTCCATGACATAACCTTATTATAAAGGACCACCCACCCATTATCTACTTCAATGTCTTTTAATTTAAGTGTAAAGCCACTGTCAACCAGAGATCGTCGTCTGTTGTACTGTGCGTAACCATCGTCACCTGTCTGTGTATCTCTCATAAGTTGTCTGGGATATTTTTGCTACATTTATTATCTTTCACGCAGGGCGAAATATTATTAAGGGACCGTGTATTACGGACACATGTACCGTGTATTATATTGTTTTAAATTATGTCTTATAATATAGGATCTTCATTTGGATTTGGTATCTAAGCACATATTAAGTTCATCCACCATGTCAGGGAAAATGCGGTTAACCATCAACAAGAATATGATGTGTATGTGAGGCAGAACACGTTTCTGCCATTCGGTAGAGAACATGAAACAACGTACCTTTCCAAATAGTTTTCCTTTGGTTAGAAGTACCATTATTTTCTTAACTTTAAGGTGAAAAACCCCAGGTACTATGTCGTGTCTATCATATTTTTTTGCCGAGGCAAAAGCATTTTCGTGATTTCATCCCATCTTGGATTGCAAGTATATGTTATAAAGAGATTGGAACGACCGTAGTGGCGCACACACGTCATGGCGTCTTGTGTCCGCTTATGCATATAGCGTAAAAAAATACATATAAGTAAAAAAATTAGGCGGCACCATATTTTGATCCAGCTGATCAGCATCAACGTCCTGTCTCCCTATCGTATCTTGCAAGTGTATATAACTGTCAGGCTCTTAGCTGCGCCTGATTGTTCCTAATATACCTCAACCTTTTACGTCTCGATTTTCGCAAACATGTCTTCTTAAAACTAGCTAAACAGCGAACGAAAATATAGCAGATGATTATCTTCTCCTCTCCAAATCATTATACGGTAAGAATAAAAACTTGCAGCAGATACCATTTTCTTAAGCAGTTGTTTGGTCTTAGGATCGTACTGGGGTGTAGAAATGGAGTATCCATCCTCGCCGTAACATAACAAAAGTGGGTACTGTAATGCATCGTATGAGCGATGGATTTCACTTATTCGATGCAATGTATTATCATGGCTCTCAACTGCAATATCCTGCTTAGAAAGTTACTGTCCAACAATAACTAAAGCAACTTCATTTGACGTAGGTTGATTATACTTTCCACTGTGGCCATTTGTAGGCTTTCTTTCAGTATTTATAACAACATTAAAATGTATTTGGCGTAGCAGATACTTTGTTCAGAGCTAGCTTTAACTGTCTTACGAACCTTACCAAGCCAGGTTTCACATAAAGAAAGTTATTGCATCTCCAAACAAATTTTTCAAACAAATTATACAGCAGTCGCAAATATTCTCTAAGTAGGTAATCTAAGAGATTTTCAAGGGATTATCGAAGGAAAATCAAGTTATAGTTTCTTTTTCAAATAATCCATGAACAAATAAAATTGAAGTTTCGAATTCTAATCCGTTTTAAATATTTTTTTTATATTTGACATTCCAATTTTAAAGAGTATTGCATTGCACCAAGCCTTTATGTGAGTTCAAAGTTTTGAGTTGTCAAACATGTGTCAAAATAAAATGTAATTTAAATCGAAAGAACTAAAGAGTATTGATTGAACTTCGATGTAAATCACCTCCAAAATAACATTTTACCGCTTTTTAATCCCGTTAGGTGAAGAGTTTCAATAAAATAGGAAACACATCTTCCATTAATTCTGTTAAATAATGTTTATGTAAATTGAAATAGATTGAACCAAGGAATCACATTGTCCCATACATACTTTGACCCCGTTTTTCACCCTCTTAGGGGTGGAATTTCGGAAAATCTTATCTTAATGGATGCCTACGCCATACAAAGAACACCCCTCCAAGTTTCAGGTCTCCACAATCAGTGGTTTAGACTGTGCATTGATTCGTCACTCAGTCATTCAGGACAAAGCATTTTATGTGTATAGATAAATTATGAATGAATTACTGACTCTGTGGAGTCGAGTAACTGGTATTATTAGTTCGTATTTGTTCCTGGTGTTTGAAATCCTTTGTTTTAAATTAAATACTACACTTTTGTTAATGATAATATTATTTTAATTGATTTATTTAGATTAGTTTTTTTATTGTTATGTGTAGTCGCAGCGTAAGAGAATTCACTACCCCGTCGTGAAAGGTGACAGAGGGCAAGTGAAACTGAAGACAGCAGCATTCCTGATGATCAAATATCGGCTATACCCTGATCCTTGAACAATCTATAGGAGAGATCTACTTGGAATTTTACTAGGCTGTAATAAATAAATGAAAGAAACAAAAAAGTTAAAGTAAAATATAAAGCGCTTAAATATTCTAGGGACTAAATTAACATATCATTAAGACTCAATAATATTGAAGACGAGCAAAAAAGTATAATTATTTAATTAATAACTAATATTAAATAGTTTTATATATGTATTTAATATAGGCACGTTATAGATAAGGCCAAAGTAGTACAGGAAATAGGCGATATTTTTGGAGAATTATGGTAAAAAGATCTCGTCTGAGAAAAATCCTATCTATTTACCACACGTCTTAACAGTAAGGCGTTTTTATTGTGGATGATTGTATAAAAGCAATCAGCTTGCGCTCGGCAAACATAGTCGACAGACTTAAGTCAGTGCATTGGTATTTTAGCCGTCTATCATCCTTCACACAGTAAGATTCGTGGTATAACGTGGAAGCTTTTAACATAAGTAAATTCACATGGACAAAAATCTAAATCTCAAACGATTAATATGTATAGTTATGACCTATAGACCGATGTTCGGTCATGATGGCCAGCCTAAACGTAGACTAGCCATTTGCGCCGAACAGGATCACAGGTACAAGTGTATGTGTGAGCACAGGTGCACTCTCTACTCCTTCACTCTTATAGTTCGATGATACGGAAATACTACATGGCCAGAAAGAGTTCAGGGCAGAATCAACAGCTTTACGTGCCTTCCGAGAGACGGGGATAAACTTCCTGATTACGGGCTGCTACTGAAAGTTTCTTGATATTAAAACTTACTGAAACTGAAAAACTTTTCTTTTTTATTTAATAACTGATTATTGGTCCATCTAAATAAATCGTGAAATATTTGCTTCTTTCAAGGTCCGAGGTAAAATAATTCTTCATTTGGATAATGTCACAACTCGACATGAATTTTCTGCAGAATTAATCGATGTGTCTGTAAATATGGAACTAGATTTGGAAGACAAGTCAAATAGTTCATTTAAAACCGACACTAATGTTTCGTGGAGGTAAAGTATAAGATTAAACATTTTGGAAATTCTGGTAGAATTTTTGTAGCAATAATATTTGGTCCAATTTTATTTGTACATAATATATATATATATATATATATATATATATATATGTAATTAATTAACTCGTATCTTATTTAACACTCAAATATTGACGGAAAACATAATGTGATAAAATACAATACATACAGTTTATTGAAGAGAACTAAAGTTCATATTCCACATTACTAACTAAATATATATGTAGTAGTAATGGGATATATATGTAATGGTAGCCTCTTGATGTGTTTCCAGGAAGGTTAGATATCACAAACATCACTAAAGAGAGGCGGATAATAACTTATCCGCCTCCCTTTAGTGATTTTTGTGGACTGCTACAGCTTTCGCCACGATGTTTTCATTCATCGCTAATTATGATAAATCACAACTTAAAATTGCAATTTACAATTTCATTGGTACCGACGGGAATGGAATTCAGGTCGCTCGCTTCTATCTTATACGCGATGGACTCCTAAATTACTAAATTGATTTTAATTAAATTTGCACACCGTATGCAGTTTGCTTCAACTTGAGAGATAGGATAGTTTATTTGCCCATGAGCGATCATAATTTTTTTGTGCGAATTTAAGGATTTTCAATAGGATATGACAAAAGGTCGTCGAAAAGGGCAGAACAACGTCTGCCTGGGAAGCTCGTGCGTTTATAAATTTACTTAACTAAACTTTAATGTCATCAGTATAACATTTGAAAAACAGATATTATTATCTGTTTTTTATTATGACGGATAACCACGTCAGGCCGTAAAGGAATATACAACCAAGTCGTTATCAGGAAGAAACTGTTGCCCATCTGCTGGTTTGTTTCCCCCTGTGGCCTCTTACGACACGCACGGAACGATATGGGTTACTGGATATTTTTACACTGCTATAACACGGACAGTGCTAATGTTCATGTAAATTCAAAAAAAAAAAGATTTTTTCTTGATCTATTAAATAAAGTAGATCTAATAATAGATTCGTTAACTGCTGTACTATAAATAAGTAGATGTACCGCGTTATATTTTAATAGAAGACCATGCAATGATAATATACACTCACACTCTAATGTTCACATGTAAAAATGCACTGTATCAAACAAAACCCATTAAAACTTTTTTCGAATACGTATTTTCATAAAATTGTAGTGACAAACAACAAATCACTTAACATTGTAGAGCCACGCTGCAGCACGAATAGGTCGGCTTAACCGTGGTAGAAACACGCTCTTACAAAATACCAGCATGAAACAGGAGTATAACGCTGTGTTTCGTATCGTGAGTGTAGAGAGAGGGGTGACAATTTTCCTGAGGGGTGACAACGCTTCTACTTATTGATTCTCATCAATTACAAAGGTAAATTTAGATGTATATCCACAGCAAGGTGGATAAGGTGGACTGTGGGCTCTCTTGTCACTCTTATTCTATAAAAAAATGAGTTACTGCGGCCCATTGACACCTGCAACCAATTTCATACAAGGAGGTTACACACGCTTTGTCACCTCCGAGTCTCCGAGTTCCAAGTTGAAATGCCTTGCTGACTTACATATTCACTCACTACAGCACACGTCCACATCACATGACCCTATGGCCTATGTCATTTCCATAGATTGTCTCAAAGTAAGGCCCGGAGCCACCTGCATCCATCGACAAGCTACGTGTTTCTTTACGTCGTCACTTCATCTACTGAGGATAGCAGGTACTGGAATGGCGATAGAAATAGTTAAAAGACTGTTTTCAACCCAGATTTTCCCACTGTAGTAATTTAATTTGTATAAATCATGATTTTGTATTTTCCAGGAATATGGTTTTTTCAATAACCAATGACAAGTCAATAGGAAAAAAAATTACAATAAACGAGAGAATTCTAACGGAATCTCTTATTAGTGGATATTTAATAAATGAAATACCTAAATGTCTTCCAAGAAGGTTGAATAAATTAAACGAAAATATTGACAGCAGAACTCAAGATATGTATTTAGGAAATAATGTAAACCCAAGCAGTATGGTAGAAGACGAACCAAATAGTACGGTTGAGGAGGAATCAGACAGAAAGATTGAAGAGGTATCAAATGACGAAAAGAAAGTAATAACTGAATTAATTATAAGGGAAGCATTACCAGATACAAAGAAATTGAGTTACACAAGCCTTTCTTTTAGTGGCGATGATTCTAATGATGATAGTGATAAAGATTAAAATGATAGCAATTTAATAGATATAGATAGGTTATTCGCTATCAAGTACTACATCTGACAGAGAAGGCATAGATTTTAAAAGACTATCATCTTTAATTTTAACAATAGAGAAGTTAGCGTTTCTGATATTTGAATAATGTATATTCTGAGCAAGTTGCTTGTCAAAGAAAGGGAAATAAAATACGCATTAAATATAGATTGAATGGTAAAAAAATAAGACAACTGCCCATAAGAAAGGAGAGGCAAAAATTTTACTAGGTTCGTTTCTTAGTAAGAAATATTTGAATAAAAGAAACTGAAAACGCAAACATGTCAAAATTCTTATAATGATTAAAATAAAGTATAAAATGATAGTGTTGTATTATTTTATAAATTAATCTTCCAATTGATTACAAATTGCGGTATTTTTATTCGAAAGAAGGAAAGATAGAACATATTTCTTAATTCCTACAACCTGGAGAATTATGCTACGGTAACAAGTTACCGCAGCGGTGATATTCTGTCAGAGCCACATATTAAGTCGACTCGCGAGCAATTGCTGGATATAATTTAGTTCCTATTTTATATTTTATAATCTATAAGAATTTAATCAAAGTTAACATTAAATTTAAAAGTTATATGTAATAAATATTGGGTGCACATAACTAGCTAACTTACTCTATGCTACGTTGTACTCAATGACTTTGTAATTTATTAATCTATGGTACAAACTAAAAGTCTGTGGCCTTATTCATAAAAAAGATAAACCGAGAAAGATAGGCTAGACCACTCACGTATACGCTTTCGGCCTGTATCGGCCCGGCGTCATTTGTGAACAAAACAAATCCCACTTTTATTTGCTAAGTCCCAAGTTTTAAAGTGTAAATTAATGTTTGATAGACATAATTTATTATGGCTAGGTGCGTAGTACCTAAATATAACTCATCTTAGAAAGAATCTAATATTATTATTACATTTAACGCGTAGGTATGATTGAAATATTTAGCTGACTAAATGCTGTGTTTTGGGGCAGGTACAAACAATTTGTACTTAAATGGATATGAAAAATTATCGTATTTTCTAATAATAATCATCTGAATGCAAAGCAATTGAATTTAAAAAAAAATTAAAAATATGGAAATTTCTGCTAATTTCAACCTCTTTTGTAGATTATTAATAATACCTTATTGAAATGTCCTTTACATGCAAAGTTACGCCTTGCATGCAGCCTTATACAACTTAGTAATATATTTTATTTTATTTTAACTCAATATTCTTCTAATCGTATGAAATTTTTTTTTTTAAAAGAAGTAGAAAGACAAACGATCGAAAAGCCCACCAGATGGTAAATGGATATTGTGGCAGATTTTCACAAAATTTTGACGTTCGACAAAAGCAGTTGAAAAAAATAAAGGAAAATGGGTTCCAACAAAAAATATTCGACTGTATGCAGCAAGTACTTTGAAGAAAATGTTTTTCTCATAGAGGTGCCCATTGTATATTGGTTGCGTAAGAATATCCCCTAACCCATATCATCTCATGGGTGTCGTAAGAGGCAACAGAGGGGAAAATCAGGAGATGGGCAGCAGCGTCTTCTTAATAACTACTAAATATAAAAATAAATTGTGGTTGCCAACCCTATGAAACAATCTATGGTGGAAGCCTATGTTCAGCTGTGGGCTTTAACAGGTTGTATAGTAAAATAGAGGTGCATTGAGGGAAATACTTCAACACATAGATTTATAAACACTTATTAATAAAATTACATACCGGAATTCACTTTATTATAACTCGAGTTTCCGGGATATAACGTCACCCTGTCTTATACCTCTCAGCAGTTGGATGGGTTTCGTACTCTAGTTCTGTACTTGGATAGCAATCGTGTCCCTACTATACAAACACTTCAATATATTGACAGCCAACTTGAAACCGCTGAAGGGACTGTAGCGCCGCTCAAATTTCGACGGAATCAAAAGCTTTCTCTTAGTCCACATATGCCAGGCAAAGTGGCAGAATGTACTCTTCGGTCTTCTGTACAATGTGTTGAAGCGTATGTATATAGTCTATGGCACTAAAGCCTTTTCGTTAACCGGCTTGTTTGGTAGACTGGAAGTCGTCGAGTCAGTGTGCGAGACGATTCGTAATTACTCTCGAAAATAATACGTAAACGCGGCTCAGAAGGGATATCGGTCTGTAGTTGACCTCCTTGGGAGAAATGAGGGCACTTCTAAGCGGCGAAAAGCCGTAAATCGACAAATGATAAATTGGTTTTATGTATGGGTGAAAACGACAACAATGCAAAAGTTATATTATCAAACTTACGAAAAATATTAGAAAAATCTAACAAAAACAATATCTTTGTATTACATGTTTCAAAAAATAATTATGTTAATGTTAATCGATTAAATAAAAGTATCAAAAATATATGTAACGAGTATAAAAATTGTCATTTTTTGAATTGTAACTACTGTACAAAAATTGACATTTGTAACAAAATAAATGACCTCATTGACTGTAGTGACTATGCAAATAAGTACTTAAATATTTATGAACTTAAGAAAATAATAGGGGGTAATAGACCAGGCAAAGATGAATCAGACGTTTAATCCAACCACTACAAAAAAGGCACAATCCCATTTTATTTTAAGCCCAGTAATATTTTAGTAACACATAGCGTTACAGAATATACTTTGCCTGCATCAAATACATATATTGCTACCAAAAAAAGGGTCTATAACCTATTACTTTCCCACAGTAAAAAGATATTTTTTTTCGAACCAAATTACTGAATTTTAAAATCTTCCATCAAAATATCGCAAGTATTTTGTCAAAGAAAGACATTTTTGAGCTAACGCTGAAGATAATGATCCTGACGTTAAATGTCTCTCCGAAACATTTCTAAGGAAAGGTGACGATAATTATGTAAAACTTAGTGACTATGAAATAGTAACTTATTATAGTAGGGATAAACAAAGAGGCGGAACTTGCATTTTAGTTCAAAAGGGCTTACTATGCAAAGTGTTGTCCTTTGTAAAAGTTCAGGCAGTGCAAAACATATTTGAAGTATGCGGCATCGAAATTACAGCAAACAAATTAATAATAATATGTCTTTATAGAACACCGCAATCAGATGCTAGCCTTTTTAAAAAAATTTGGACAACTTACTTTATACTTTAGTTACAAAATATAACATTAAGAAGCGCATAGTTTTAGCAGGAGACATAAACATAAATATATTAAAAAAAGGTAAATTCTCTTTTGAGTTACAAGAACTTTGCCACAATTACAACTTAAAAATTCATGTCAACGCTCCTACGCGACAGTTATCGTGTATAGGCCACATACTGAGTAATATTTCAAACGCTATAGCAACTATATTACCACTCCATCTCTCAGACCATACCACAGCACAGATGTTAACCTTTCCAGTAAAAAATAAGCTAACATCGGCATCATCCTATAACATTTTTAAGAGAGATTATAACTTAGACCATATTCAAAAATTTAAAAAATGTCTACAAAACTTATCATGGTACGAAATTTATGTGGAAACTGACTTGAATAAGGCCTTTAACGCTTTTCACGAATTGATATGCCTTTTTTATTATTTATACATTCCAAAAATAAAACTAAAAATAAACAGTAGTTGCACAAAAAAAATTGGATAAGTCAAGGGTTTAAAAAAAAGTTCTCGAACTAAACGAGTCTTGCGATACACATACTATAAACAAAAAAAATACACGTAATAAAGTTAACTGCTTAAACTATTCAAACATTTTAAAGAAGTGTATTTGTAAATCCAAACAAATTGATAATATTAAATATATGAATAATACGAGGGCTGCACCAAAAGTATCGGGAATGGAATATTTCCATTGTTCCTGTCATATTAAAATCTTTTTAATTGAAAACTCCTTGGTTTTGAAAATCGAATACCATTTATTTATTTAAAAAAAGATTCTCGGTCTTGTCACAAGGTTTTTTCAAACTTGTTCAGTCGTTGAGAAAATGGAATTGACTCGAGAAAATTCAAGAGCGATGATTTTTTATGACTTTCGAAGTGGTTTAACACAAAAACAGTGTGTTGACCGGATGATTTCTGCATTTGGTGATGAAGTTCCATCCAAAACCACAATTTATAGCTGGTTTGCTGAATTTAAATGTGGACATGTCAAGCTCAGTGATGATCCCCGTCAAGGTCATCCAAAAACTGCAGTCATCCAAGAAAACGTTAATGCTGTGCGGCTTGAGGAAGATCGACATGTGACATACCGTAAAATTCAGGAAACTTTAGACATTGGCATGAGTCAAATACAAATAATCTTGCATGAATAATTAGGTGTAAAAAAGTTGTTTTCCCGATGGATACCGCATTCGCTCTGTGAAGATCAAAAAGCGGCTCGCGTTACTTGGTGCGTCAGAACTCTCGAAAGATTCCACGCAGGATCCTTAATGCTGTATACAACATCGTATCAGGTGACGAATCCTGGATATACGCGTACGAACCCGAAACAAAAAAACCAGTCACGACTTTGGGTGTTCGAAAATGAGTTAAAGCCAACAAAAATTGTTCGTTCACGGAGTGTTGCAAGCAAAATGGTGGCCACATTTGTCTCCAAAACCGGCCATGTTACGACTATTCCTCTTGAAGGACAAATAACGGTTAATGCAGAATGGTATGCTAGCATTTGTTTGCCACAGGTCGTTTCTGAACTCCGTAAAGAGAACTGCAACCGCCGCATCATCCTCCATCATGAAATGCGAGTTCTCACACCGCACACAGAACAAAAGAGTTTTTAGAGCAAGAAAACATAGAATTATTAGATCATCCACCGTACAGCCCCGATCTAAGCCCTAGTGATTTCTATACTTTCCCTAAAATAAAGAATAAATTGCGTGGACAGAGATTTTCATCACCTGAAGAAGCTGTGGACGCCTACAAAACGGCCATTTTGGAGACTCCAACTTCCGAATGGAATGGTTGCTTCAATGAATGGTTCCCTCGTTTGGAAAAATATGTCA